TGCCAAAACGGCTCCTTGGTAGAGCAGTTGGCCAGTCGAGCCGTGTATAAACGAGGAACATGGCGTCCAGACCAACGTGGAAAGGTCAGGCTGACCAGGCGTATAGCCGGCCGGTACCCAAATATTCAAGTAGAGACAGTCCTCAGAGAACACCTCGTCGGGAGGAAGAAAAAGTCGCAAAGGAGGAGACTTCTGCGACAACTGGCCGCCCAGAGGCTGGTAACACGAAGGCTTCTGTTTGACGGCTCGCCTGAGTAGCCGTTGAAGAAACAAAATGTGCGAAATTAGCAGGCATATGAAGCCTTCATAGCTGGCATTAACCCAGAAGGCTGGGAAGATTTTTATTTTCGAAATGAGATTATATTTTAAACATTTCCCACTATTACTAAGACTGATATACTACTGATAGTATTAAGTAGGCAGATTAGAGCTAAATATTTTTTGGAATCCTAAAAGTAGCAGAATGAGTCTAGTTTTCGAACGATTTACAGCAATTGCTCTCGTTCTGTAGGTAAGACTTTCAGACTGGGAAGATTTTTATTTTCAGGGTGAGATTGTATTTTAAACATTTCCCACTATTACTAAGATTGATATACTACTGAAACTATTAAGTAGGCAGATTAGATCTAAATATTTTTTGAAATCCTATAAGTAGCAGAATGAGTCTAGTTTTCGAATGATTTACAGCAATTGCTCTCGTTCTGTGGTTAAGACTTTCAGACTGGGAAGATTTTTATTTTCAGGATGAGATTGTATTTTTAACATTTCCCACTATTAATAAGATTGATATACTACTGAAACTATTTAGTAGGCAAATTTTGAGCTAACTATTTTTTGGAATCCGAAAAGTAGCAGAATGAGTCTAGTTTTCGAACGATTTACAGCAATTGCTCTGGTTCTGTAGGTAAGACTTTCAGACTGGGAAGATTTTTATTTTCAGGGTGAGATTGTATTTTTAACATTTCCCACTATTACTAAGATTGATATACTACTGAAACTATTAAGTAGGCAGATTAGATCTAAATATTTTTTGGAATCCTAAAAGTAGCAGAATGAGTCTAGTTTTCGAATGATATACAGCAATTGCTCTCGTTCTGTAGGTAAGGCTTTCAGACTGGGAAGATTTTTATTTTCAGGGTGAGATTGTATTTTTAACATTTCCCACTATTACTAAGATTGATATACTACTGAAACTATTAAGTAGGCAGATTAGATCTAAATATTTTTTGGAATCCTAAAAGTAGCAGAATGAGTCTAGTTTTCGAATGATATACAGCAATTGCTCTCGTTTTGTTGTTGAGACTTTCAGACTGGGAAGATTTTTATTTTCAGGGTGAGATTGTATTTTAAACATTTCCTACTATAACTAAGACTGATATACTACTGAAACTATTAAGTAGGCAGATTAGAGCTAAATATTTTTTGGAATCATAAAAGTAGCAGAATGAGTCTAGTTTTCGAATGATATACAGCAATTGCTCTCGTTCTGTAGGTAAGGCTTTCAGATGAGGGCAGACACACTGTAGTGGCCAGGTGTATAGACGGAAAGCATCAAAATGTTAAGGGTAGACAAGCTTCAGAGAACATGTAGTCGCGTTTGATGAGAAAGTCATAGCAGTCGCCTTTTGCAAAATCTGCTTTCTTATAATCCTATAACACAAAGGCTTTAAATCGGGTTCGAGCCATAACAATATGTGTAGGCCTAAATGCCAGAAAGGCATTTTATCCTAATAACACACTACAATAATTACCAAAAATATACTACTTAAATGATTAAGTAGGCCGTTTTGGGCAGAATGATTTTTTCGTCGTTAAAGCTATCGGAAGTTGGAGAGTTCAAACAGATAGTTTTTCACATAGCATAATGTAATGACTATCGTTTTGCAATAACAGGATTATTGGTGCAGAAAGCAAAAAAAGCAGTTCATGTTTTAGACCAGAAAGGTTAATAAAAGGGGGGGCTGGAAAGACTGCCTCTACGAAACTCTTACTTGTGAATTTGCATAGCTTTGCTGCCCGATGAATCTTGCAGAAAAATATAATTCTCAGCCATTTTAGGCGGTTGGAATAGACTAAAAGGAGTGAGGACTCGAACCTTGGAACTGAGGACACTGTTGAGTTAATACCTTTGGACATGATTCTTTGAATATGGTACAGAAGAAGAGATCAAACAAGACAACTGTCCATGACTTTCCATTTTGAAGGAGGATTACAGCGTAGAGGAGACTGTCGTATTGTGCACTGTCCTGCGACCCCGATCAACCAGTGACGGATATCATTAGAGCAAGAAGCCATACAAGGTTTATTCACCCTATTTTGTTTAAGGCGATGATATGAGTAGATTTGACGTTTCTATCCCGGCTGAAGCGGATTGCAGTTTCGACCCCATCTACGTCCTGTCAACATCTCAAAATCTTACCTATAAACGGAGCCATACTTTGGTAAATGGAGCAAAAATGTACTAAACTAGGAGAAAACCCTAGTCGATTTTTTATATCCTTGACATTGTGATCTTAATTAGGCGTTGCACGATTTGGTAACTTCCCTCATCTGCAAATATGTAACCAACCAAATCATGAGATACAGCATTAAGATCGCAAGGGAAATGTGTTTAACTAGTGACTAGGATTGCAGCCGGCCACGCTTTCTCTTGGTTTAGTATATTTTTACGCTGTTTTGCAAAGTATAGCTTCTTACTCTTATGGTCATCATATCACGAATTGTTTGCAAGCGACTTTTCTTTCGAATTGGTACTTTATGTGGCAATATATCCCAAAGAATTTTCTTCGAAACCCAATTCTTCTTCATATCACTTTGTCCTAATTTGTCGTTTCTCTTCTACCATATTCCAGGAGTTGTATCCACTGACATTGGCTCAACAGTACCCTCAATTCCCTTGTTCGAGTCCTCACAGCTTTCGGTCTATGGTAAGAGCCTAAAATGGCTGATAATGATATTTTTCAACAAACCGATAAAGCTTCGATGCGCCACTTTATCGTCTAAAGGAATGGATAGGCCCAGATTATGTCGACATAGTTCGACTTACATGACCTTTTCACCCCAGGCCTCGACCAGTTGAGGTGGAGCAAATCTTCTTCGGCCTGTCGGAGGTTTGGCGTATGGTATGCCCAGAAACGCTTCTACCTTGTTTTTCCCAGTTTCCGTGGTCACCTCGACTGTGAGACTCTCAATTCTGCCAAGAGTCGTCGTTATCTGCACCGCTAAGCAACCGGATTGTAGACATCCGGACAACAGGAGCAACATTGGAAAGAGAAGGAGCCGGAGGTGGTGGCGGCGGCGGTTTGAACTTGGCATCACACAAGGTTTGGACATGTGAATAGTACAAGATGGCCGATCTTCAAGGCTTTAGCGGTCGTCTGCTCGAATCCACGACACGTTGTGTTGGCCGAGTTGAAGTCGAAGGGTTGTCGGCAGAACAAACCGACGCGGTTGGTCGGTTGTGACTATGAAACCGAGAGCCGAAAGAGGCTGTATGAACAGCAATTCGTGTGAACCAGACTGTCGTCAGGCTTGACTCGATTGGCTCAATTCTGTCTGAACAGGTGCCAGTCGAACTAGGGCTCATCGGATGCCATTGCGACCATGCGACGATAGGAGCATGTGTATCCAGATTTTGGTGGTGGTGCTGGTACTGGTGTGTGTGTGTGTGTGTGTATGTGTATGTGTATGTGTATGTGTCTGTATACCAGTTGGTAGGGTGTTGAACTGAAGCTAAAGTCGTTTTAAATTGAATGTGTGCCAGATTCTCATTCAAGAGATGTTTTGACAACCTTTTTCCTTGCAACACTTGCACCAATTTTATTGTCTCCTCCGGTGAAGATGATCAGACCCAGAAGACTGGATAGTTCTGCTTCCAGCCGATTGTCTGGAGGCGGTGAGTGCAGGCTCACCTGAAGCCGGCTTTCTGCATTTATTGGGCCACCTGAGCTGTCTGATTTGGCAAAAGTGGCCCAACGTGCAGGTGGGCCGAGACTGGCATTCTGAGCACCATCTCGAGTTTGGCTCGAGGGGGGTCTCGAGTTCACAACTGTTGTGCGTTCAGTTCCCCTCGACACTTGGAAATGTCTTCTTGCGATCACCATGACAACAACACCATCTTCACTATCATCACGTCAACAAGCAATATAATCATTATCATCAGAATCAGCATCATCCTCAGCCCGACCCAGGTCGCTGGTTTTACAAACGGATTGTTTATTCGTGTCCCAGCAACCTTCGGGACTCGAAAGGAAGGTGCGCTTATGTGTGTAAAGATGTGCACATTTGTGTGGATCCGATATTGTGCGAGAGAAATGGAGACAAAGACAGAGAACGAATAAGAGCGGATCAAGGGGTTAAATCAAGCGACTAAAGATGAACATTGTTGGGGAGACCTTCATTTCGTAGGAAAGTGCATAAAAAAAGATATTCGAAGGTCGATCTCGAAAGAAGACGGCTGCTGATTTGCGTTGTACTGCAGCCGTTTGACATTAATACCACGTTCAGGTTGACGCAGTCCACGAGACATCTTCTCTCGTTTAGCGTGAAAATGGGCTCAACTTGCATTCATCAAATAATGAAGATCA